AACTGTGAAAAAATAGAGACTCAAATCTCATCGGATTCCTTCAGTATGCGTAATAGAATATGATTCTAATATTGTGCGTGTTACAAATTGCATCATCATTATTATTAAGATTGTTGTTGTTGTTGTTACTCAACGTGAACCTCCTGCCGCCCGCATGACGACCCCACCCCCAGGCGGCGCAGCGCAACGAGTCCCTGACCGTGATGAACCTGGCCAAGAAGGCTGAGCGGCACGCGGAGGCTCAGCGCGAGAAGGACGCCATCACTGGCAAGAGCGACTGAGCAACCCCCGGGGGGCCGGGCGACCCCTGGGCCGGGCGACCCCGGGGCCGGGCGATCCCGGGGCCTAGCGACCCCGGGGCCTAGCGACCCCGGGGCCTAGCAACCCCGGGGCCTGTCGTCCAGCGGTGCTCTCTCCATTGTTTGTTCGCGGAATTAGCGGCGGAAAAACGTCTCATCGGGCGGTGCTTTTCTGTTTTTAGTCGAGGGCGACCACGAGCGGCGGACAGCACTGTGACACGACAGAACTTTGACACAACAGAACTGCGACGCGACAGAATGAACCGTGGTGCAATACAACTCACGACTGTGGTCTCAATGAAGACGCGGGTCAGGATAACGTCGTCGCGTTCGCAGAGACAGCAGCGCACCGCAAAAGACCAAAAACACGGCGAATAAACAAATGACATGGCGGTGGTGGTGGTGATGCTTCTGCTGCTGCGCAATTAACAACGAAATCTCAGCGATAGAATTACTGCTGTAGTCGCGGTGTGTCTCGTTAATGGCAAGGTCGTGGCCAAACGTCATTGGCTGTGGACATTGCTGTTTGTATATCTGCCCAGCGGTCTCACTGCGGGACATGTACACCCTCTTTCCCTTCCTCTGCACACCTCAAACGGTGACACAGTGGCCCAATTTTCCACTGGCACATCTGAGCCGAGCCAGCACGGGGGCCCTCACAGGCCGGCTGTTTTTTTTTCTACTGGGCTAATTGCCAAGCCAAGTCAGAACCAAGACCGTGAAACTGTCAGGGGACATCTGCATCTGGCTCGGGGCCAAGCAGGGCCAGGAGAGCGATCAATCATTCCATGCGTTGCGCGAGTCTGTCTGCAATCCACTCACTGCGAGTGACGTCAGCCGTACGGCTCTGGTTCTGCCGTGGAAAATTCGCAGTGGCGCGTCATGAGTCGTGCTTGGCTGGCTCGGCACAGCCTAAGCGTGGCTCGGTTGTACGGCGAAAAAAAAAAAGAGGCATCAGTTTAAATTTGTTTTTGTTTGTTCCCCCGGCCTTTGTGTAACCAATTCAAGAAGCTTGTCACCTCTCACCCACTGTCCTCACTCAAGCCGCTGCCTGCTGCCAATTTGCGTTACTGGTTTTAGTGCCTCTGGCTGAGCGGCATGAATAAATAATGCGAGGGTCCAATGAGAAGCAATATCTTGTTTACAAGGGTGGACGCAAGGATGTGAAAAGTGCATTGCGGTCCTTGAAGTGCCTGTTGGTCGCGGGGTATCTTACCTGCTCGCCTGCCCGGGGCAGTCAACACATAAATGTGCGCGTGAATAAAATACAAATGAAATGTACTGCATCATTTGTTATCCTTCGCTCCTGATTTCATTCGAATCGTTCACCCGGCGTCGCGTATCGAGACGAAGAGCCGTCGGATCTTTCGCCGTGTTACAGAATGGCTCACGGAAGTGGATGTCACGGAGCCACCTCCGAGCACGCTTCACGTTATTATATCTGGTCACACAATGTCGCACCTGCTGTCCCTGCGACGAGATTGTAGCCACATTCAGGGCACAAACAAATTTAATGTGATGGATGTTTGTCTGTGTCGTTATTGGTAACCGGGCTGAGACCATAAACTCACTGCACACGAGAACCCAGTTTGACCCACAGGCGGTTGCCCGAATTCGAACCCAGCCTCTCGGCGGTGCCAGTTCAGCGCTCCGACCTGTGACCTGCAAGGCACCCGATCCCCTCCTTGGACGTGGATGCTCATTAGAGAATGGGGAAACCTCAACGCCGATTCACACAGTTGGGACAATGAAACAAAGCCTCGCTCTGGTATGGATTGCTATTCGCAGCCCTCCCGACGTGTTTCCACGTTGCGTCACGCAGAGTGAAACGTCAGGATGTTGTGCCGAATGACACCTAAAAAAAAAAAACCCGAGAAACACACCAGAGCTACGCCCAGGAGCAACCGCGAAAAACCTGGGGTGAACATTCCGTGCTCGAACCGCTGCGAGGTGGCAATTGGGTCAAACGAGAGCGTCACACGAGCGGAGTGGCCAAGAGCACTGGAACTGGGTGGGTAGCAGAAACACAAGCTCTGGGAGCCGTTCGGGAAGCGTGGGGGGACAAAAAAAGACACCCACCGGCTGTTTTTGGTAAAAATGTAAAGGGATTTTTTCAAGGCACAACTTTCAAAGCACCTCAAATCGAGAATGACACGAGTTGAAGTAAACAAAATTAAGCAAATCCCTTTCGCTCTGCGCTTAACCATTCCGTGAAGCCAGGCGACCAACAGCGACTCGCGCTTAAAGCTGCTGCCTGAAATGCAGATTTCTAAAAAAATATTTTTACCAGGCAAGGCGCCACTGAGCTATACGGCTCTTTTTCAGAGCGACCTGGCGATCGCCAAAGATAGCTCAACGAAGTGGCTTGTCACGTGGAAATTTATAACAGCAAAATACTCTAAACGTGTGATGTTGATTCTAAATTTTGGAGGGAAATACCGGAGGACCCGGAGAAAAATCCACGTGACCACGGGGAGAACATGCAAACTCCAAATATACAACAGGCGTCAGGGTCGGGATTAAACCCACGACCTCCTGCATGTCAGGCGAGGGAGATAACATCTTGCCACCGTGTCGTCCCCACTCGGACACGGGAGCAAAATGGGGATGCAGGTAAAAGCGCAGCTCTGCAATTGCCTGCTCACGCCACTGCTGGCAGACGGGGCCTCTCTCCGCTCGAGGGACCTCTGGACAGCTCCTTTAAGAGAGGGTATTTGGCCTACTTCCATATTGGCCAACATATCTTGGAAGAGGGAAGTATCCACAATTTGACCCCAGCACAGGTGACCTGCCTGCCGATCAGATTAACCGACGCTGTACGCATTTAATGGTGCGGGGCGGACAAAGGTGTGAGGATTTAACTCGTCCCCATTGCCACAACTGCCGCACGAGGAGATGGAGTGGAAGTCGGCAGTCCCCAAGGGAGTTAAATTCCATCGTCCTCACCATCACACCACGGCAGTGTCCACACTAGCAGACCCCCCCTCCCGTCGATTTCAATAATAAGTGTCAATTTAATGATAAGTGTCAATTTAAGGACACGGCTAATGGCAATTTCAATGATACATTGTCAGAGCGTGTTTGTTTACATGTTCACCACAAGCACGTGTGGTTAATGCAGTAATGCAGCCTTTATTCCTTGCAAAAGGTATCTATTTGGTGTTTGAAAAATGTAACATCAGTTTTATTGCCATGACGGGTAAAACCTCGTTCTTATTTTCCACGTTGAGCCTGGACAAAAAAGGTCTCATGACACAACATCGTGTCAATGTAATGACAACAATGTAATGACACGGCTGATGACAATTGAATACGATCAACATTGGAAAGAAAAAGACCCGAGCAAAATGTGTTTGTAACTGAAGACTTTTATTATCGCTTTTAAATGGTTACAATTTTACATGTTAAACAGGAAAAACCATAATACAAGTAACAAAATGAAATTTCTTTGTAGTTGTGTATGTCTGCGAGTCGTGTTCGTGTACTTTATATTTTTCAATATTTACGTATGTCAACTCACTCACACCTCTCCAGACAGCACTCCTTAAAAGTCAATGCAAACGTCTTCAGTCTGTCAAATCTCTGCACCAGCTGGCGGCCATACGCAGCGTACAAAATGGTAGAGATCGTTCAAGTTTTGTAGGTACAAATGAAGTGCTGTTTTAAAAATATAAACCAAATAAATAGATTAGCTTTATTGGAAGAAAGCCAGCCTTTGCGGCAGAGGTGAACACTCTTGGCTGTTTAAGATTAAATTTTCTCTCGTATTGCAACGCGTGGTTGTCACAGAAACATCGCATAATAGAGCCACGTGACGAAAATTAACTTAAGCCTTGGCGTGTGCCCCAAAATACAGTATTATTATTATTCGTAAAGGAAAAGAAATCGCGCACGCTTTTAGTCGGCACCCAAGAAAAATATATCTGCCGACATTCCATCTGCAATGTAACACTTTTTTTTTAAAGCCGATTCAGGAAAAACCAGTAAACAGATCCTACGGATAAAAAAGGAAAAAAAAAATGAAATAAAAATCGGAACAAGTCATGAGCGACAACACGCTACTCTGAGGTTACGGTAAAAAGGCATAAAAAAAGCCAACGTCGTGAAGCCGAGGGGATGAGGAAACAATGTATTGCACAGAAAAGTGAGGTTTGTACCTGCGGAGGCAAAAACATTTAAAATAGCGCACGATCCATGGCACGTTGCTGCTGAGTGTAAACGGGGATGGGATGGGGGGCATGTCGAGAAGGGAAAGGGGCCGAGGGAGGTCACACGCCGGACTCGCGCTCCGGTGTCGAACCCGGGAGGGGGGGGTCACTCGCCGCTTTTGACAGGTCCTTTACTTATTTATTAATTTCAATACAGCAAAGTTTGGTTCGAGAGCGTATTCCGAGTTTAAATATTCCCGCGGCAACCTCAAGCCAGTTAAAGCTGCCCGACTTCATGTTGTTTCAATTCGGCCATCAAAGCCTCAGCTAATTTGCATACAGCTGTTAGTTATTTTTTTCCTGTATTATTTTAAATTATTAAAATAGCACTTTTTCAATAGTTTGAAGCACAATTGCCGCTTTCCTTTAGAAATCTACATCTGCACCTAAGTGTGCATTGTGCACACTCGAGTGACCCTAGTGACTTGGGAGATTTCGTAGAATCCGCTTTTTTCGCCAAAATCGGAATTTTCTTTAGCCACATTGCACAATTAGAAAATGAAAATATAATTCAATGTATAACAAATAAGAATATATAGGTTTCACGTTACTTGACAAAGGCCTCCTTTGAGTTGGACACAAGTAGAGAATAGTGATTATGAAGAAAATAAATGGCTTGTTTTTTTCTGCAGTAGAAACAAAACGTAGAATTTCACGTCAAATCGATGAACGCAGACTTTTTCCACCCATGCCCCGTTTGCGGTATTGTTTTCAATTACCCTGTTTTTTTTGTTTGCTTTGCTGGTTTACAATGGACAAGGGAAGGAAAGATTTTTCCCCGCTTAGAAATCCAATGACAAAAAAAGCGTGCATCTAAACTGCCCTATCGGTGCTATTGTTTATCAAGACTGACACCGGCCTTGCGGCTGAGGCACGCGCAGTTATTGTTAAGTGCCCAAACCTGCTCAACTTAGTTAGAATCAAACATTTAATAAATGGGCATTTCAGAGAATTGGTTAAGAGGTCCGATTATTGCTTGTTGTTATCACTTGTTTTGCCGCACGTTCTAAGCAGGTGCGCGCGCCTTTTTATAAGGGCCGTGTGGTGTGAAAAAAATCCTTTAAAAAAATGAAGCAGTTTGTACAATAGCAGTCACTGAATGCCAGTTACGTCACCTCTAACATGTGCAAACACACACATTCATCAACACATTTGATAAGTCGAAATTATAAAGAAAAAAAAACTTACCTTGGGTGGAAAAGACGAGACACCTGTGGCTTACCTAAACACACTTGAGTGAACAATGTCACCGGCCACAATGAACCCTTCCACAGCCTCGGTGAGAAACGGGAGAGCAGAGATGATGATGATGATGGAGAGACATCAAAATTTACCCGCTGCACGGCAAAAAAGAAACCCAGGCACGGACCACGCCGGAATTCGCCTCAAGTAGGCAACAATGGACGCGTGCAGTGGCAACTTCCATCCGTGCAAACCGTGTCCCAGTTAAGCTCGCCAGTTCCAGTTATTACGTCGCATGTCTTTGAGTTTTTTGGGTGTCTGCACCAGCAGAGAGAACACAATCACGTCCAGTGGAGAAGTCTCGGACCTCTTGGGGGGGGGGGGGCAACGGCTTGACCCGATTATCGATGCAGTTATCAGGGATATGTTTGGCTAACAACCATGGCTCAAACACTTTCACGCGTACAGAGGTGGAAAAGAAAATCGAAAGAAACTTTTTTTTCTGATTACAACGAAAAATAAACATCAAAGGAAACCCTGCCAGGTGGCTAGGGTACACACACAGCCAAAATCTCAAGCAGATGACCGCTTTGTGTTGCGATCGAAACGTCGTTTTTTGTTATTTTCTTTGAACCTATCTCAGTGACTTTACCGAAAGACCCAAAGAATACATATCTCAACGTCCAAGTGGAATTCACCACCACCAGCAGGCAAATATTGCCGTGCTTGCGGACACTGTTCGTACAAAACATGTGACGCGAATGAGACGACGGAAAGACACACCACGTGAACGGAAGATGCGGACGAGACACTACGTAGGCTGGTTTACGTGCACAGTGCATACTTCTTGACGTGATATTGCAACGATTCCGTAGTCATTTGTGAGGCGAGAATATGCTAACATTTCAAGCTCAACAAGTCAACAATGCTCGCTTAGTTGTCACACTAAATGGTGTCGGAACCTGTCACTCAAACTGCCCAACCTGCATTGCGACTACAATTTGCAACGCGACTCCCAAGCTGCAATGCAGATCACGCTCTTTGCTCTCAACGTTGGGTTCCCGATAACCGACAGCGTGCGTAACGCCAATATATATGTATAGTATATATGCATCTTCTCGATGTTATCGACTAAAACAATAACTAAGGCCCGTGGAAACTTGCGCATCCTGGCCAAACACGCAAGTGTGTGCGTGAATGCAGTTCTTTGTTATTGTATTGCGTCGCCAAAAAGCGCAGCACAATTTGACCACGGCAAATAAACGCAAAGATGAAGCCAGACTATCCCCCCCCCCCCCCAAAGCATGGCCCTGTGCGCCAGGAAACGCCGAGCCCAAAAAAAAATTAGGGACAGCAACATGGGCCACTTGTCCCTCCGGCTAAAGCTTTCCACAGCTTTTATCCTAGGAGAGACAAACAATGAACAACTGACGCTTGTCAGTAACTTCCTGCATTAAAGTACTGAAACATGTGCATAATGCCACACCGATACTGCGGACCACTGCGGTCAATCTAGGCTTAAGGGGTGGGGTGGGGTGGTGGGTGGGGGGTAAGAGATAGTTTTTTTTCCTTTTTTAAGTCTGCAAAGCCACAGCCAATCAATCAAAAGTCAGTCCAGCATTCACTCCCTCTCACTCGCACACACACGGAACGTCAGCACAAGTCGCGGGGTTGTTCTCCGTTTGGTATCCTCCGTTCAAACGCTGGCTTTCGCAGGAAACTGAGAAGCGACCGGCCCCCATTCATGCCGCCCCTTTTATTTATTTCTGCCGTTCCCGACTTCGAGACGGCAGGAGTTTGCAAATTGCCTTGTCCGCCGGTTGTGGCGGCTCCTCTGCCAAGATCGCAGCGCCAAAAAAATGTAAACAAGATTATAAAAATAAATACTGCCGAGAACTGTAGCGTACAGGCCAGAGCAATGTTCCTATTACTTTTTCCATAAACAGAATTTGTTCCGGAAATTAAAAAAAAGCAGCAGTCTGCAGATAGATCGTAATGTGCCACACAACTGTTTTATGTCAAAGAAATGTTATTATATTTAAACGCGCGGAACGGGCTGCAAATTTGGAAAGGGAACGGCACGGCAGCCGCCGCTAACTGGGAAGGAACTTGAGATAATAAGCTTATATATTTTTTTTTAATTGGGCACTCAATTTTCCAGCAAAAGCCTCTTGAACGGGGGCCGTCCAGTCGGCATGCGACTGTATGTGTGCGCGTGTGATGTGTGCGTGTGCGCGCGTCCCAGGAAAAACGGTACCAAGGGACAAAGTGTGTGCGTGTGCGTGCATGCATCACCTTGCCAGGAGACCCATTCCCCAGAATCGAGCAAACTTTTTCTCCTATCCATCGAAAAAAAGGGACTCAATTCACCTACCCCTTCTTACTGGATTCGGCAAATACAATTTAACGCTATAGGCTAATCGATGACAATTTTTAAGTTCATGTCTCATTATTCTTTTGATATTAAAATAAAATGCAAATTGAATATTTAACGATATAAATACTACAAATATTTATACAACATAAATCAAGTCGAAAACTAAAATACCGCGTTCCAATTATAAATTTCAATCATGTGCTACTTTTATGTGATTCCTGAAAAATGATATTTGTACTGGCTTACATTTATGCAAAGAGATCAAATAAACACAATATTGGTAAAAAAAGACATTGTAGTAGCAATTACAGCAATGGCATGGTCATAGATGTAAATAGTTTAAAGACTTGGTGTTTTATAATCTGAAACTTTTGCCAATTCTTCAGCATGAGCAAAAGGTACGTTAACAAAACGTAAGAACCATTTATAAAATTGCAGTATATACGGTATTTTTTTTCTCTTCAATACGCTTTGAATGCAAAAATATACATTTTTGCATCGACTAATTTCTGCCAGCATTATTTAACAAAAAGTTCATTTATCCAGTTAAGTTTAATTTTGAACCCCCCTCGGTCGTGAAATCCTTCCTGGCAAGGTGGCCTTACAAATATTCACATTAACATTTTGAGATTCCTTATAACGAGTTACACTTAACGACTTAATAAAGTTGGGGGATGGGGTTTGCTGGGGCCCACACACACTCAAGGACCTCGGTGGTCGTGTCGCTAGCCGCAGATCAACAAAATCCTGGTGGGGGGGGGGGGGGGGGCAGGAACAACAAAATAAAATAACACCCCCGCCCCCCCACGTCAGCCGAAACAAGAGCAACACCCATAAGCGGGCACGCAAAGCGGGTGACGGAGGTAAGCGCGAGGACTTGGCGGAGACGCCGTGGCCCCTGGGGGCATTGGGACGTCAATCGCGGCCTCTCCCAATTCTGCCGCCGCCGCCGTGTGCGTGCCAACTGGGCAGCGGCCGCCCCCCACCCCTCACCTCCCACCACGTCTACCTCCTCGACCCGTCAACCACGGCCGGGAGGGGGGGCGCGCGTTGGGGGGGGGGGGGGGTTGGCGCCGATTACGGTGGCCGAGAAAAACAGTGCGGTGGGGTTAGGGCGGGGGGCGGAGGTGACCATGAGACAATTTGGTTGAACAGCGTGCTTTATTCCGGGCCTTTCACGGGCAAACGTAAACATGCCCGCAACAGATTTAGCAGTGTTAACGCCCCGCTGTTTTTTTTTTTACCCCATCGTTGTCATACGCATCTTAAAAAACAAAAAATTTGGTGGAAAAAAAATTAAGGTTTTTGCCAAACCGTTCTGCCGAGCTCAAAACACTCAAGCCGGCGACCCGTCACAGAGTCCTGCGTGTGTCCATCCCAACAAAGCCGCGGCCCAGAGTACTAATGATGCGAACCGCAATAATTAATTACCGACACAACAAACACTCGCTGCTGCCTCCTCCCACACGCCGCGCAGAACCCATCGTCCAACAAGGAACCTGCCCAGCCTACCGCTCAATTTCCACCAAGGTGGCCCGGTTTCGGTGAGAGAAGGGGGGGGGTTGTATAAACGACAGCTTGGGATTGGGTTGGTCCTTGATAATTATTATTTTGTTAAATTTGCGCGAAAGTGTCTCTTGCGGGTCGATTCCTTGGTTGGGTTGTGATTCTGCGGGTCGCGGTGCTGTTGTGCGTCTGCACAGGCAGACTACATCTCTACCAGGGCTTAAAACTAACTTGGTTTCTAAACCTTTCTTATTCCCTTATTTTTTACATACAATTTTCTTCTTATGCATTTTTCTTAAAGGTAAGACCCATCGGCGAGTATATCTACGCCGGAAATAAAGGGACTAAAAAATAAACACGAAGGAAAAAGGGGCAAAAGAAATCAAATTCTTACACAAAATCAGCACAAGTTTGAAGCTTAAACCCAATCAGAGCATCACAAGAATAATACAACCTTAACAGCTTCTGCTAAATGTCACTTTTTAAACATTTTTTTTTTATATTTTTCCCCCCACTTGTTTTAGAATTATATCAATGCTATTTTTGTTTACTAGTTTCATAGCTTTATGTCTTCAAAGCAAAGAGCAAAACAGTTTAGGTCACAGTTTGAGAGCATTTGAGAAGAGGTAGATAGACCCAACATAGAGACAGCAATTCCGAATCCAGACACGATGCAGAAGGCTGAATAATTGAAAAATGTACAGCCCGATTGGCAATTAATGTGCCCAGACATGATGGGCTTGACAAATATAAAAGACACCATCCTACCACTGTTAGAGCAGTGTTGGATGTATGATCGAATTAAACGCCAACATCACTGTGTTTGGCAGAGGGTTTATGAAGAACCCAAAAACCCAAATACTATTACTTGAAATGGTGTAATGTTGTTTTGGCTGTAGTTCTACCCAAGCAAACTACGCTGTCATTTTTCAAATTCAGCAGAAGCTGACCAGGTATGGTTTTCATGCAATAAAGAAAAAAACCCTACTGCTTTAACATAATTAAAAGCTGCAAGCGTTCACTGCTTTGAAACTCCTACATGAATGTAAGGTGAATGATAGCTTAGTGCAAAACTGGTTTGTTCAGCAGTGCTGTTTGAAGGCTACAATCACAAAAAAATTAGCTCTCAAGCCAGTGTAGATAATCAGTGGACAATTCTACCTCTTGTTTAAACCTCTAGTCACTTGTCTACATAAATTTAAACGTTTACAAAAATAATGGGAAAGCGTGGGTGGGGGGTGGTTGTGCTGAGTTGGTTCAACCCTTTGCGCCTAAGACCCAACTGAACTGGCACGACCGGGGACTCTTTCCGACCAGCGCAGAAGGAGATTTGTTAATGAGCGTTTATATTTAAGAGATCGATTTAATGGGCGGGAGGTAGTGCCAAACCAAGTTGACAATTTAAAAATCGCTTACCTCTCATGTATGTGTGCACCTTATGGCAAACACCTTAAAATTGCACCAATTGGCTTGTGGGTTACGTACTAGCCAATGAGTATTTTTTAAACACACAACGGTGATAAATAATCGGAGGATATTTTCTATCCCCACGCAATTATAATTTTTACTTTATTTTTAAGACCCCAGCATGTCTTTGCTCAAATACCACTCCCTTCTAAATTTACAAATATTTTTTTTATACATTTGGCTGCACAAGATGCAAAATAAGCCTACATAATGAGACAGATTTGTTTTATAAATTATTTATATAATGTACACTTTTAATGTATTGAAGAACGAGAGGAAAAAACAAAACACGGATTGGGTAGGAAAGGAGTGAGCGGAATAAAACGTAAACTAAAAAAATAACCCAACACATGCGGTTATGACGATGTGGGTGGACAGCAGTCGAAGACCACAACGCACAAAGGAGGCACAGCTTTTTGAAGCCAAGGGTTAAGGAAGAGGTGCATTCACACTGCCCGATTGACTTTCAGAAACAGGATTTTCCTACGAGTTTCGAATTGGCCGCGCAGATTTCCCTGGCATCAGCAAACACAGCCTGGCATTACCAGCGGCATAGCTGGGTTGCCTTGTGCCTTGGCGCAAGGAATGATGATGTGACCCGGCCACCCCATACACTCTGCCCAAATATTCTCCCCACTTTGTAACCTGGGCCCTCCCTCCGACCCAAGGGCCCCGGTGCAGTTGCACCGCCTACACGCTCTGTGTCGACGTCACGGGGCGAAAAGAGCGGCTCAAAATTAAAATCTCTACTGCGGACCTGCTGCCCTTACAATGGCCGCAAAGGGGCCCGGGGGTTGCAGACAGGGACGTGCACCCCAGTAATCGATAGAACCACACTTGTTATAGGAGTGGGGGAGGGGGGATCCAACCACGTGGCTCAATGTGAATGGATGCCAGTGTTACAAGTTCAAATCCTCATTGAGGGTCGTTGGTGCAGTCCATCCCAAATGGGGTCAACTAAAATAGTACTTCTGTGAGATAGCCAACAGTGGATGTCCTATCAACGGACTCACCACTGGAACACACAAAACGAGCGACCACTTTCTCCACCCTCACTTTGAACTTCCCGCTGCTGAGGGAACCGTCGTCTCTGTGTGTGCGAGCAAGGGGGGGGGGGGGGGCAGCCCTGACCTGTTTCTGACAGCAGCTTGGGCCATGTGACTGCACCTCCCTCGAAAGTGTGCCTGGGAGTGCCATGGGGGGATTCGCACAGCGCAAATGTTTTTCAATCATCGTTTCCAACGCCACACACCCTTCGGAAATTTGCCAGCAGGGTCGCTGGTGGGGAGGAAGGGGGGGCACCCCCCCTCTGTATTGTCAAAATGGTTCTTCCCTTGGGCAGGGGTGGCAGTTGCTGCGCGGGTGAAGATATTATTGGGCGGCTGCTGCTGCTATGACTACGTTAAAAGAACACCCGTTTAAAGAAATACGAGGGGAAAATAAAGGAAAGGAACATGCACGCAGTCACAGCACTGCACGGTGACTCGCCCACCTGCACAAACCCCCCCCCCCCTCCGCCCCAATTTAGGGTGGCCTCAATGCATCAAATGTGCATCGCAAACCATGGAACATTGTTTGCTTTTTTTATTTGTAAGGATGATGTTTGAACCACCAAACAACAGTACCTTCAAAGCTAATGGACTATTTGAGAGGAACAAAGAAATACAGCTGTCCGTGTGTTCGTGTGTGCAAATAGATCTGTCTGTATGAAGCAATGGACAGAGACTATTGGCTGGTCGAGACTGGGAGGCCATGGGGCTCCTGAGAAGAAATGATTTCGGGGTCACAAATTTGCACGTAGGTCGCAGCTCGCCCACTCCGACGCGGCCCTTGTGGGCAGCCAGGCAGCCCAAAGGTCTGCGCCAAAAAAAAACCCACCAAGAAGGAGCCGAAAAAACAACGGAGGAACAGCAAAACAAACTCACGGTCGCATAGCCCACCCACCCACGGTGTGCTCCCCCATCCCTGCGCAAAGGCCAAAAGGGAATGGATGCAGCCACCAAGTGTGAAAAATATATAACCATTCACCATGCGTGGAGAGTTGGTTATTTTGCAAGATTATTTTCGCTGGGTTTGGAGATGGTGGGGATCGCGGGCAAGTGAGAAGGCCGAACCGGGATAGCGCGATGGTGGGTGGCACCGCACACTACGGCACACCGCGGCCGTTTCGAAGCGCTGGGCGATCGTTCACATGGGATGATGGGCAGCGAGAACGCAGCCGCAATGCTCTAATCCCCACCGCGTGTGATTGTGTGTGGGGGGAGCGGGTACGGGGGAGGTTAAGGGACGGCGAGCGAGTACCGTTTGGTTCACAAGGCTGTACTCTATCCCTACACGGGGGTTGCCCTGTGTCGACAACACGTAGCGCTCGCACGCTTCGCACAATTGCAGTGGGGACACTCAAACACTCAAGTGATATCGTGGTTATAATTAGTTCTGATTTTTTTTTTTCTTTCGCAGCTACTTGTTTAGTTTGTTTGTTGCTTAACCAACTGCTCGCAAATGTTTTCACTACTTGCAACAACAAAAAAACACACACAATGCAGTAAGGTTTTAAAGGGAAGAGGGGAAAAAAGAGAGTGGGGTGGGGGATGGCATTGGTGTGTGGGGGGGGGGGGGGGGGCGGGAATTTGGGATAAAAGGGGATCGGGGAAGGTCAGACTTCACAGCGGAAACACTCGGGTTTACACTCCTCCCTGACGGCTGAGGCTCCCAGCTTATAGTTTCATCTACAGGCACAACTAAAGCAGAGGACTTTATGCACAGCATGTGGGAAAAGCCAATGCCGCTTATAGCCCAACACCATCAGCTCACAGACTTTGCGCGCGCATGGGGGTACGGGCGGCAGAGGAGGGGTGGCGGCCCAAACGGGCAGCAAAGTTTTTGCTTGCCCAACCATCGGGGGGTGGGGGGGGGGGCCGGCAGTTGTTAAAGCGCTAAAGACCCCCCCCCTCCCCCCCGCTACTCCACCACGTAAACGGCCCGAATCGCGTAAAACGCGGGCGCCGAATCCTCTCTCCCGTCGCGCGGCAAATGTCTCGGCTCAACACCCACGCCAACTCGCTCACAGCAACACCCTCGCTCGCTCGCTCTCTCTCGCGCGCGCGCTCACTCAAACATCGTCGTCTCTCGTTTTAGACGGCGCCGCAACCCTCGACGGCGCCGTCCGCTTTATCCCAACGCTACCTTATCCATGGCACACGTTGAGGGACGGGGTGGGGTTTTGTTGGGGCGGGGCAAGAAGCCACTTTTAATGACAGCAGCCATCGCTCGCTCACTACGGGGTAGGGAAGGAGAGTTTCTGGGGGGGGGGGGGGGGGGGGGGGGATGGGGGGCGGAGAGGGTGGACGGGCGAGCAGACGGACGGACGGACGGACCGGACCGGCGGGGGGCGAGCGGTTCAGAGCTGGAAGCCGCCCATGGGCGCCTGTGGCTGGGGGTGGAAGAGGAACTGCTGCTGGTTTTCATCCACCTGCGGAGCGATCTCCCCGTCCTCCTCCTCCGAGCCGAAATAGCGCTCGATCAGGTCGTACGCCTTCTGGTAAATCTCCTGGTTCTCGTGCGATTGCAGGAACTCGATCTTGTCCAGGCCTGGGCGATGGGGGAAGGGGGGATTCCAGCGATTGTACTTGAGTTTAGTCATTTTTTTTTCCGTTGGTTGTTTTTCGTGTTGCTGCGAGAGCGATATCGCAATCGTAGACCCGTTCATATTTGAAACAATTAGACAGCTCATTGGAAAGTCATCATCATCAGCAGCCATGATTAATCCACTGCTGTATGAAGGCTTCTCCCAAACCATTGTCATCTCTCACGGTTCCTGCGGAGGGAGCTGGTAGGAACGTTGGGTTGCTCGGTCAATGGCCAAGGTCAACGGCGGCGTGGTGTATTCTGCAAATATGCCCGACTGTGAGGGCGGGCACAAGCCGGCATGAGTAGGTTAAACGTTGAGTTTTATAAGGGCACCACGGGGTGACCAGCCCCTCCCCACCCAGCCCCACACCTCCCACCCCCCACCCAGCCCTACCCACCCCACCCAGCCCCTCCCCACCCTCCACCTCCTCATCCAGGCCCTCCCCACCCTCTCCTCCCCACCCAGCCCCTCCGCACCCAGCCCCTCCGCACCCAGCCCCTCCGCACCCAGCCCCTCCGCACCCAGCCCCTCCGCACCCAGCCCCACCCATTTTTGGATGCACGACGGACGGACACAATAATCCCCTGTGGGCTGGTGTAACCAGGAGGTTCCTTCCAGTATAATCTATCTCTAGCACCTGTACACATGCTGGATTCATCTTTCCACCGCCGTAGTGAACGTCCTTTCGGATGCGTTTCCCTCCTTTGGCCCACACACTCGCATTAGTCTCAACCACCGACCACCATTCCTTTTGGCGACTTGTCCTGCACGAGCCCGCTTAATTTTACCTAACAGCCAATGTGACGTCTAAATTTCGTGTGTTCGCCAACCCGCGTGTTCCTCCGTCTCTCAATGCATCTGACACACGCATCACTCAATGCCCCTTTGCGTACTTACCGGTTTTTCTTCAAGTACCGCCCTTTATAGCTCTCAACGCTACAGCTCGGAATTGTCAATGCCCAAGTCGACATGGTCAAGCTGTTTCATGGGCTCAAGTCTTCCCCCCCACCCACTTGTCCTTTCACCTCCCCTCACTTTCCATCTCGGTACTAGGCACGACGCGCTCATACAAAACAAAGCTTGCGCCTCAGTCGCCCCAAACGTCCGCGTGAAATAAGTTGCCGTTCAAGTATTTTCCCTGTATTGCCATGGATCCCCTAACCTGCAATCACTTTTGCTCCCCATTCCTCCCGACTGAATCAGCGATGGGCAACAGCATTAAAATATATTACATTACTCTAGTAACTATAAGAGGCACGAATCACCAATTAACAGCGTCTCATTATTTAAAGATACAAATTACCCATCACGTTGAAGGGCGTGTAATTTAAACGTCAATCACACATGTAAATTAAATAAAGTGTCATTTTTAAAGTTGGATCATCAATTATCCGGATTCCAACGTGATCCAGGGCTGAGCACACGAAACCGGTAACACCGCCCCAAAGGCTGTAAACCAGTCCAGCGATCGGCACCACGACCGTAAGAAAAAAAAAGTAGCTACACTTGATTTCAGTGTTAAATATTTGTTACAGTATATTATACACTACATAAAACTTAATTAAAATACTGCACATGTATACATCACCTATGCAATTTTCGAGATTGGAGTGGTAAGTACGATACAGTAAATACAATAACTATTTACAGGAGAATATTTATTTTTGACTATTTGTATGCTTATTTATGGCAATTTATTAAACTAAACACATTTAAAAAACACACAACACCTAAAAACATGTAATACAAGAATGTGCAAATATAAGCTATTTCAAATAATGATGTAGTGATTATCCGACGTTTTTGAAAATCCCACACCCCCCTATACCCCACCCCGCCGGATAAATCGGACATCACGGCTACCTCTCCCGCCCCGCTTACCGTATGCCTCCTCGATTGTGGCGCAGTAGGGGTTGATGCCCAGATTGTCCTGCCGTGCCTCCTGCTCGCCCAGCTTCAGGATGTTTTCCAGGCCGTTGAGAGCCACCTGCACGATCTTGGCATCCATCACGGTGAGCAGGTCGCACAGCGGCTTGATGCAGCCCTGCTCCACCAGAAACCTGCTCCACGCAAACCGGGTCGTTGCGGGGGGAAATGGGAAGAGGGAGGGCAGGCAGTACCGTCAGTACTGGGAGACCAACTTCCCCACCCCTCCATCGAACAAAGCTTATATGTCAGGATGTAAGCCAAACAGCGGCTCGGAACATTTGCCACCGATCTCACTTTTAAAACGCGAGTGTTCATCGTTCGACTGCACGTTCACGAACATTCCTTCCCAATTCCGTTTCACTGGGTTCTGCAGCAGTGTTGGAAAGGTCCGTCTAAAACTAAATACGTTTTTATTTTACCAGGTAAGGCTTCACTGAGCTATGTAGCTTTTTTCAAATGCGACCTGGCTATCACAAATGATAGCTCAACGAAGTGGCTTATTGTGTAGATGTGCAGCTGCCAAATACTCAAATGCATGTTTCGGAATGTGGAGGGAAAAACCAGCGGACCCAGCGAAAACTCAATGCGACCACGGGGAGAGAGACATGCAAACTCAAAATATACAGGTGTTAGGCTTGGGATCGAACCCACAATCTCCTGCATACCAGGCAAGGTAGTTCTAACATCTTGCCACCATGACAGGGCCAAATATCAGAGCATCCTATTTTGCTATTGTCAGTCGTGGTTTGTGAACCCCCATGCTTTTAGTCACCTCTGCATGAACGAACTCATTTGTACAACGGTCAGCGTGTACATATTGAAGCAGTCTTTGTTCGATCAATAGAATCGATCATCACTGGTAGAAATTCTTATGGAGGTTACATGCAATGAATCATCCGGGAAATAATTAACAAATGTCTCTTCATAAAGTTTGTATGGGCTAGGTTCATGGAGAGCCTGCAGATTGAATACATTTGCAGAGCAGTTTAAAAAAAATAGATTTATGATCGAATTGTGACAATTGATTCACAACTAGGCGTAGAAAATAAGTTATTGAACAGGTTGCCTTGGCTGGAGGATAATTCAGAAAGTTTCCCTTGATAGAGAAAACGTACCTATAAGGGATTCATTTTACCTGCTTAGCCGCATGATGGGCACAGGCTCATTTTCTTTACTTGAATTAACTCATGAAAAATAAAGTGCGCCAAGAGGGTAAGCAACATTGTTTCACCATATCTCTCAAGAGTAGTACAGTAAAATCTTGGATTGCGAGCATAATTCGTTCCGGAAACGTGTATGTAATCCAAAGCACTCGTATATCAGTTGTGCTCACATGACGCTTGGCAGACAAAGCGTGTATACGTACACTACTCGTATTGCAAGACCGCGCTCGTTTATCAAATTAATATTTATTTAAAATTATTGCTCGTCTTGCAAAACACTCGCAGACCAAGTTACTCGCAATCCAAGGTTTTACTGTACTTAGACAGCAGTACACCCTCCTCACACGATCTGCTGGACAATAGTGTAGTCTTTAGAGGTATTAGGCAGTAGTACACCTCCCTTACTAGATCTGCTTAGACAGCAGTACCATCCTCACCGGATCTGCTCAGGGGTGCCACCGGATGTGGCGTTAGTGATGGCCCAGGCTGCTTCTTTGCGCGTTCGGAACTCCGCCTTTTGCAGGATCTCGATCAGCACCGGGAAGATGTTGGCATCGATGACCGCCTGGGCAAAGAAATACATTTCAGTGTGAAAATGGTAATAGGTCTTCTTTGGTTCTTTCGGTAAAGTCACGTAGAATGAGAATACCGAAAGAACCAAAGAAGATGAATCCTTGCAGTCACGAAAGCTTTAAATCGAAATGGTAATAGGTTTTTGACAGATTATTCCATGTTTAAAGCATGACAGCGGTTGCTTTAGGACATTCTGCAAAAATCTGCTCTGATGACCATGGCATGGTGGCCCTCATCCAGCAGTGAATTGACGAGGGGCTTTATACGTACTGATTGGTGGCAGTGGGTTGATCAAAGCACACAATTAAGCCTTCGGTTAAGACAAAAGTGTTGTTAATTTCGATAACAAAAAAGGTAGCAGGCAAGCTGAGAACTTAAAATTACATTCTCTACAGCAGTTTACCAAAGAAGATCATGGGCTAGCAGTTATAATAGTTAGACTTAGGATTATTGCACGGTTAAGATGGATGCAGTGACAGATATATATTGTTCTGGGCACGTTTTCAAGGTGGTAGGGCCTCACATGCAGCCACAGGCCAAGTAAAATGTTACCACGGCTGGCTGTAAGTCCCCTCACTCGTCATGCTTTAAGGTGCAAGTGGAATGTGAGACCTGTATCTGGGCCCGGCTGCCGGCTGTAATATTGGAGATGGTCCAGCAGGCCTCCTTTTTGATCGACTCCTTGGGATTGCTAAGCAGATGCAGCAGACAGGGCAGCGCCGAGCAGTTCAGTATCACCTGTGGTGTGGTAATGGGGTGTGCACGAAGGGGACAAGAGGGCAGTTTGTGAACAAAGGGCAAGGGAAGCATCGTTATAACATGGCTCGCTGTCTAAAGCAGTGAAGCGCCATGTTGGATCCGCGTTCCCCTGCTTCATAACCGGTCTGGACTCGCAGACTGTCACGTCATAAGATGTCCGAACTCACGGACTGTCACGAAATAAGATGTCTGAACTTATGGACCATCACGTCATTACCTGTCTGGACTGGCGGACAGTCACGTCATTAACTGTCTGGACTGGCGGACCGTCACGTCATAACCTGTCTGGACTGGCGGACTGTCACGTCATTACCTGTCTGGACTGGCGGACCGTCACGTCATTACCTGTCTGGACTTGCGGACTGTCACGTCATTACCTGTCTGGACTGGCGGACCGTCACGTCATTACCTGTCTGGACTGGTGGACTGTCACATCATTACCTGTCTGGACTCAGACTGTCCCTGTCACGCCTCGATTCTATTCACGGGCCTCTACGCACCAATAACCTTTTTCAAAATGAAAGCTACTCTAGAAGCATAGGAAAAAAAACAAACAGAATGATCTTGTACTTTATTGACCAATCTATATAGTTGTGAAAATGTGCAAGAAAATGAATAGTTTTGCGAAACAAAATCTAAGCACCTGCAAGTGTCGGTTTCCCACAGCCTTGCGGGCCATCACCAGTCCACAGAACACAGCTTGGGAACCACTAAACTCAAGGAACTTATTTTGAGATTCTAACCACTATTCATAACATAACTAATACTCTTTGGTTCTTTCGGTAAAGTCACGTAGAAAAATAATAATAGATCACGACGTTTCGGTCGCCACACAAGCGATCGCCCTCAGGTGGGATAGAAAGAAAGAACCAAAGAGTATGGATTCCTGCAGTCACGAAAGCCTCAAATCAACAGAACTAATGTTTACTTCTTGTCTACAGCTCTCTATTCACATGAAAAAAAAAATCTTCATCTCCCTAACCAGCATCTCCCTACATGCCGGCAAGACATTTCCTGGCGGGCAACTCCCAAGAGCATTCGGCGGCCACATGTACGGCACGAGGACCACAAGTCGACGAACTCTGACCTCGGTCAAATTACCAAGGCATGAATATTCAGAGCGGTTGGTTTTTGTTATGTTTGTGTCACCGGCAGTTGGACATACTCCCCCCCCCACACCCCCCACCTACCTGTGTCTGCATGTCGTCTCCCGTCACGATGTTTCCGACAGCGCGCAGGGCGGGAGACACCACCTTCACGTCCGTGTGCCTGAGCGAGACATAACGGCGGGAGCAGGCGGACTCAACGTGGCACTTCACCATCATGTGCTGTTTTGAACAAAAAAATTGCTACGGCATTTGATTGTATAGTTTGCTTCCTCCAATGTTATCCCAAATCTTCAAAATTGTGCTATGTCATGAGAAAATACTGTACAGAGGTAAAACAAAAACAGTACAGATAAATAAGAATAGGAGACAAGAGCAAGAATTAGAGGAATCAGAGCTCATTGTTTTTTCCCGAGTAAAACCATCCTCCGAGGGATTTGCGCAGTGCGACAAACCAGGGGGGAGAGCTCAAAATCAAACGAGACCGAGAAAAACCGGACTCTGGCGGTGAAGCAGAAATGGGCGAAGTTCGCGCAACCAGTACAATCATCATGCTCACGAGGGACGTGACAACTGGCTCGACAACCGTTGGAAAAAAAAAAAACTCGTTACAGCATGATGCCGAGTTGGTCACACAGCTGGAAGAGGCCTGACAATGTGACCGTAATTGCGCGACCGATCTGAAAGGGCCTTTCACAGCGAGCATGATGGCAAGCATCAAATTTCAACAGCTGTGCAGTACAAAGTAAATTCATGGGCGACAGACTTCACAAGGGAAACCCTCACATTTTACAAACCCCATCACTCGCCCAACTACCCACAGCGAACCAGACACCTCCCTCAAAAGCCATCTAAACCGAGTACATAACATGACAGGGAAAAAAAAATTGTGGGTCTAGAATAATGCAACTTATTCATCCGTAACATGCACAAGTTTATGTTTTAAGTGCAAGCACTGATATATTTCCTTCGAGCGCAGGTGCCGGAGCAGGCGATCATTACCGTTAAGCGTAAAGGGGGAAAACAAAAGCAGAAATGACAGCAGCTCTGGTTTGAAAAAAATGAAAGGAAAACAGAGACCAAGATAGAGCCAGAAAAGAGATATTAATAAAGACAAATAGAGAGGCAAAGGGAGGAACATTTTCCACTTTTCGTCTCTTCTAAAACTCAAATTCGGATTTAAATTAAAATTGGCATAACACCTCAGTGTAAGTTTAACACGTAGGTTTTCGCAGCCCATTTTATCCATAGAGCTTTTTTTTTTAGGGATAGATCTCGTAAATGTGTCAATAAACCTGCCACCACCCTATACAGCCAATAACGAAGGTTCGTCACGTAAAGAAAACACGCCAATTCGTTACTCGTTCAGTAGACCCACAACATTTACAATTTGAGTACGACATTTCGCCGGTAATAACCAGCATCATCAGGCGACAGCCAAAGTCGGTATTTGGCTGAAAAGGCAAATGTCTTATGCACACGTATATTACAATATTTTATGCGTGGTGCATACGCATGCGCACATATTTGTGTGTGCATCTGCACACAGTTTCCCGTACACTTCTTTGTACAATCGACTCCGCTTGGGAATGTCTCACAACATTGCTACAACGCAGAGCATCCCCTCTCCTCATCTCCAAAGAATTCCTGACACAAGCCTCAGAATCCACAGACATACTGGAGGCTCCCTTAACGGACAAGATGTCACAGCTTGTTCCGCATTATTTATTTATCCCAAAGGATTTATTTCCATATTATTTGCTAAAATCTTAAATAATAGATTGTCACATTTCAGCCTACGTACCCGTGAGCGCAGCTATCAATTTCAAATCGATAAACTGTTACGCAAACCACCTAATTGGGATTTTACAACTAAAATATCACGATTGACAATTCAAGGCACAGTCTGGTCTACAAGCCAGGGTCTGTGTGTGAATAGAGGCGGCAGGATCTGCGCTTTGGAAATCCTTTTCATCCGAGCCGAGATGCCGCGTTCTCACAGGAACGCCATGTCCCAGCCGCTCCCTCCGCATCCCCCTTTGTGTCACTCCACGGCACCCCTATAACGTCACCTTAATTCAACCCTGATAAATGCGCATCGCACATCAAAGCAGCACCCCGGTCAGGGATTTTTTTTTTTAATACGTAAAAAACCTTCCAGGGTAAATAAATAATGAAGTGCGGCACCGGCATGCTCCACTATTTTACTTAAAGGCGGGCCAGTCTGCTCACGTCCTCCCATCCAACTTCCAGTCGATAGGAAACAACCCCTATGCCCTACACCACACAGAAGGGCTCCCCCCACACCCTGCAAGCTGCCAACTAATCAATGGACAACAAAGGCTCAACAAGAGAACCGTGGCATAGCGCGAGTGATTTCTACGGGGATAAATTGCATCTAAGAAAGATGTAACGCTCAGTTGCAAAATGCTATCGTAAGAATTTAGAGTGACAAAGAGCTGTACGAGCACATGAACAACTTTAGTCGCTTACCTCGATATCAGATTTCAAGTGTGGCCTTTGAAAGATTACCTTTTAGAGAGCGAGACTATTTCGCAACAATGAGCACTTTTTTCCATGGAACAGCAGTAGGTCAAACACAGGGTGAGCGTTGTGAAAATATATTTTACCCATTATTATTGTTGTCAACTCCAGAGTAAATGAGGGTCATGGGGCAGAGGGGTGGCCCAGGTGAAACTAAAACAAGGTTAAAGTGAAACACGTGTAAACGAGGCTTCATACTACTGCTTCCTAAAGCAATTGGTTTACAGGCACGTGGGCACTGGGTCATTGACCCTTGTGGGCAGTGGGGAACTGATACACAGAACCCGTGTGAGCAGGTTAAAAAAGTGCTAATGAGTGCGGTTAATCCGCAACCCGGGTTAATCCGCTCACAAATAGTGAAGACTTAACTGTATTATTAACTATTATACCATCCCATTGTCTTTTGCCAAGCACGTATAAGCTTCCTCAATTCAATAAACATACAATTTTACACATTACACCTTGAAGACGACCGTGTTTCTGGTCATTTTGCGTTCGTGATGAACTGCTAAAAAATGTTCTTATACACGCACGGGTTGCATAACGCTCTCAAATGTGCAATTGTGCTCAGAATTATTTAGCTGATGGGACAAAGCACGTTTGAATATATGCAACCAGTACTCTTTTTGCTCTGCTTTGTATTTTTAAGGATGGGGCAAACCTCTGACCAATTGGCCAGTATTCTATCGGTTAAGTCCCAAATAGAGCAACAGCTTCATACAGCAGGTTCGTCCATATTGGAGCATCGTTATGGGCAATCGTGACACCGTGCTACAGACGGACAGCCAGAGCGATTGCATTAACGCTTTCAAACAGATTTGTAAAGAGTAAAAAATTATGGATCACATGGTGGGGGGTGTGGGGGGGAGCAGTGGAAACTCACATGAGCAGTTCAACGAGGCGACGGCACACGCCCGAGTCAATCACCGCCTGGATCTTGTCGTTGGGGCCATCCGACAGGTAGCTGAGCGCCCAGCAGGCGTCTGCTAGGATGTCCGTGTCGGTGCTGTACAGCAAGCGCGACAGCACGTTCAGGCACGGAGACACCTGGGGGAGGGGAGGACGCACAAGGAGGGTAAATAAGCGCGAGTGTGCATAGGCGCACAAACACAGGCAGACAGGTGGACGTCACCTGTGGTTGCACACTGCAGCAATGGTTTGTACATGCACGGACGGTCCTTTTGTCGGTCCACTGCTGGGTGACGGCTGCCCCACACTGTGTGGGTTGTGGGGGGGGGGGGGTTGGTGAAAGTGGGGTACATAGATGTGGGAGCACCCATCCAAGCACTAGGCAGGCTCAACCGCGCTCAGTGTCCCGAGATCGAATGTGATAGGGAGCATTATTCTAGGCGATTTGGCCATCGGCAATGGTTTGAAATTACATTCACAGCAATAACAATTGGCTACAATTGGTCTTCACGGAAACAAATGGGCTTTTTTGTTAAGAAAAACCTGGGCATAGCACAGGGCCCGGAATTTCGAGGGCAACACCGTGTTTGCACGGCAAGCGAAACTGCATCCGTCAGGCGGCACCGTCACCTTGGCAAAGTCTGGCGGGGGGTTCTTTCCACGGCAGAGGTTGGAGAGCGCCCACACTGCGTTCCGCGTCATTGTCAGGCGGTTCGACTTGGTGAGCAGCCTGCGTGGAGAGAGGCAGGACCAAGTCCGGTTCAACACTTCTGCTTTTTTTCCCCCCTTTCGGCTTCTTCAGAATCGGAATCTTAATTTATGCTGGAGGAATCCGCTAAGCTACGAAGCTCTTTTTGACATATGATGTCCAGTACGGGCACGAGGTCAGAAAGTTCCAACAACAATACAAAAACACGAAAGAAAGCGGATACCAGAGTTAACTCTGACATCGCTTCAAGTGACGTCTCATCTACACAGTAAGAGGGTGGCCGCACTCTCATCCAGTATGCCATAGTAATGCGTGTAGCAAACCAACACCTTTAATTAAAAGTCGGCATTTTTTAAATTTTAGCGCAGAACCAAATGTAACGCCAAGTCTTTTGTGTGCGGTCATTAGCGAACTCTGACAAAATCGCCTGCCTTTGTCGTTGTGCCTTCACCACCAGTTCTCCACCACACCTCACCTCACTACTCTCGCCTTGCACTGAAGCTCAAGGTAGAACCCTACGCAGCAGCGTCACTCAAAATCTGCTTCGGACACGGAGGTCTCGAACTGTTACAGCCTTGCGTTGGTTCTCTGTTGTCGCCCCCTCGGCGTGGAACTCTATCCCTTTGCACATCCGCAACATCAAATGCACCGACTTTCAAGAAACATCTAAAGGCCTATCTGTTTGGTCAGGTTTGCGAGCAGCCCTGAGCCTGGCTCCACGCCTCTAAGTTTTTGACTTGTCTGCAAAATCTGGTGAGTTAAGAATGTCAATTATTAACAGACGGCCACAATCAACTTCTTTCGTACGGCTGATGTAGATGCAGAGCAACGACTGCAATTTCACATCCAAGTGGCCAAAAGCCAGAAAACCGGCGTCAGGAGCAGCGGAGTGTAGTCACCGCGCAACGCCTCCTTCGTATTTGTGGAGGGGGCGTTGCGTTTTTATAAAATCACACGGAGGGAGAGCAGGGGCAACCGTTCGTCGCACTCACTGCAGCAACGGCGCGAGGATGCCACACTCGAGGACGTAGTCGCGGCACTCGGGGCTGTCTCCGGCGATGTTTCCCAGCGCCCACACGGCCTGCGGCAAGGGGCGGTGGACAGTGCGGGGAGGAGGAATGATGTCTCCCGATTTACATTTGTTCACTCATCCATGGCATTCCTCTTTTTCTCTCGCACTGCAATTCTGATAAAAAATGTTTTTTTTAATTTGCATACTTTTAGCATTCGTTCCACATTATGTTGTTGTCAGTGTCCATACTTCTGATCCATGATGTGGCTGGTAAATGTAATAATTCAAAACGTTCCTCTCAGGCACACTGGGTATGATCATTAAATGCTGTTTAAACTCGACTTGGGCTAAAACTCACCATCAGTAACTGTGGCCGACCTATAGTGATGATATATGGCCTAAATTGTTATGCTTTATACAATGAATCGCCACAGGAAAAAACCTATTGCGGTGACACTAGAAGACCTTTAAGAAGGCACTCAACCTAAACACTTACTGCGCGAGGTTGGAATTCTTAGTCACTGCCACTTGAGAGAGGACTTAAAACAACACTTGCAGTAAGAGATTCGAGAGCAATATTTCCCCACCCATTGGGAAACAAAAACACGGTAATGGGAATGAGAGCCAACACACTTTAGCATCCCAAGTTGTTTCTGCAGATGGTCTAAATCGCATTGTGTAGTTAATGAAACCCTGCTTTGTGCTGTAAGAATTTCAGGAATGACAGCAAGGAAACATTAGGACACTGGATTAGCGCAAAAGCGGTCTGCACTGTGTTGCTCATAGCCAGACGCAGAGGACTGTCCATTAGCAAAACTATAAATGTCAAACATTCATAAAGTTTCGATTTAAAGCTTTCGTGAATGCAAGGATTCATCTTCTTTGGTTCTTTCGGTAAAGTCACGTAGAATGAGAATAAAATAATAAATTAATAAAATAACAGGATAAAATTCTCACGACGTTTCGGCCACAACACAAGCGGCCTTCATCAGGTGAAGGGACCAGCCTGTCTCGAAGACACTCCAGCGCAGTCTTTGAGACAGGCTGGTCCCTTCACCTGATGAAGGCCGCTTGTGTTGTGGCCGAAACGTCGTGAGAATTTTATTGTGTTATTTTATTTTATCAATGTATTATTTTATTCTCATTCTACGTGACTTTACCGAAATAACCAAAGAAGATTCATAAAGTTATGTGATGAGGTTAATGGTCAGGTAAACACCTAGTCATTGACCACCCATGAATGAGGAACAGCTAAAAATTAAAACTGCATTTGGTAAATATTTTAAAATACATTTCCCAACACAGGCTTAGAGGCCCATTAATGGATCTTTTTTTTACTGCCTTGCTGATGAATGGCAAGCAATAGCAATGTGCAGTGAGCAGCAAGTGCCACCGAATGCAGTGAGCGCTAAGTGAGCCTGTGGAGTGGCGAGTACGCCAAGCGGTAAACGAGCAAGGGTGGTGGGAGGCAAATGCAGAGTACGCGGTGAGTAACAAGCGATCGCACGTGCGGTGAGCGAGCAGTAAATGTGTTTGGGGTTATAAATCGCTCGCCGTGCCTGGTGAATTACAGGAGCGGCCCTGAGTCGCGATTGTCAAAGCGCCGGCCTGAGGTTGCGTGCATGACAGGCAGGCGTAGGAAACGCACATGCCAAGGACTACGCGTAGCAGCAGCCACATTCTCCAGGCACCAACCCCTAGTAAGTTCATCCAGGCAAAGCCGACGACAGGTGAACCCCCCTGCCCTACCTGCTCCTGCACGTCCTCAAAGTCAGAGGAGAGCAGCGTGATGAAGATGGGCACGGCGCCGGCCGTGATCACCACCCGCGTCTGCGTCGATGTCCCCGAGGCGATGTTAGTCAGCGCCCACGCAGCCTCGAACTGCGGGCGACACCGGAGTGGACGCGACAACGTTTTGAACGGGCCTCCCACCTCGAGTACGGCAAGCCGGCACAGCCCCTGCCACTACTCGCTCACGCCACTGCTGCTGGCAGAAGGGCCATCTGCTAGAGGGCTAGAGGGAACTTTTAGAGAGCCCCCTCAAAAGGGAACCCCCCCCCCCCACACTTTACCCCCACCAAATACGACCAGCCGATTGACTAACTGTAATGTACCCATTACACTTCTGATTTGTAAAGCCAAACATTGGGTGTGCAGAAAAAAATACTTTAAATGATGCCTAAATAATAAAAAGAATCAACCCAATAAATAAAATGTTCTTGTAACAGTCAAGAGTAAGGTTTTGTGCCCCTGTCCAACGAGTTTGGATCCTTGTTAATGAGAAAAAGTTCATCAGGCGTGCTCTGCTGATATCACTGCGGCATTACCGCAATACGTTTTAATGCCTCACTACAGCAATGCCATTGCAGCACGTGCGACAAATGTTTAAAGTTTTTCTCTCATGACTGAAGTGTCAAACTCAAGTTGGCAAGCCTGGGACAGACCATAGTTTAAGTGTCTACAAAAACCAACATGTTTTTTGGGTGCACCTCTCTTTAAGCACGATAAAATCCCTATTTTCTCCTCCTAAATTCTATAGAATGCCAAATATCCTAAATCAGTGTAAATTGCTAATAGTTATTTACGTGACCGCCACGGGCTGTGGAGAGAGTACATCTCGGGTCTACAATAAAGTGGAGCAGCTGTCTACTCCATACAGAACTTAAGTTATATTATATTTTGATTTAAAGCTTTCGTGACTGCAATGATTCATATTCTTGGTTCTTTCGGTAAAGTCACGTATTGTTGTCCTGCGTGTGGGAGAAACCAGAGTGCCCAGAGAAAGAGCACACAACAGGAATAACACTCAAAAGGCGACTCAAACGTAATACAAATCCAATTGCTCTAGTGCCATCTCCTGGTCACCTTGCAGAGCAGTGGGTTTGGAAGTCTCGGCAAAGGTGCATGACCCACCATGCCGTGCCTCCAAAGCATTTGGGGATCACGGCAATGTGAAGGTACAGGTGCAGACCCGTAACTACTTGCTTATGCCTCCACTCCTCGACGCATGAGAGCGCTTCCCTGGTCGACTCTTCATGTTGGCCAGGTCTTCAAAGTGGTGGGATTCCCAACAATTTACCCCACTACACATGGCCTGCTGAGCGACTGTGGCTTAACAATTTAAACTGCTTGGTGGACAGAGGACTGAAACAGGAGGATTTTTCCATAAAACTGTCGCCTGATGAGGCTGATTGTTGTAATTACCGGCAAAACGTCGTACTCGAATTGTAATTGCACACCGGTGTGTTGAACCAGTAACGAATTAGAATATTTTTTTCACGTGACAAACTTTACAAACTGGCTGCGTCGGGTGGTGGCGGGTTAAACGACACATTCATATTTATACGATCTAACCCAAAAAAACCTCTGGTCACGAAGGCCTACGTGTTAAACGGACAGAGGGTGGGGGTTTAAGAAACTTGCACCACTGTTTTAACAGCCACGCCGGGAGACTGAACCAGCAACCTGTGTATTTGGAGGGTCCGGTGTGCTAGCCAGCTGCGCATGGCGTGCACACGCGCAGGAGGAATACGCGCGACAAACCTGCAGCGTGCAGTTTTCCCTCCTCTTGAGGAACTCAACGAAGCGAGGCACCACGCCGGGCGAGACGATTACCTCGTCGATCGGGGGGTTGGGCTCTGAGTTGTGTAGAGGGGGAAGGGGAACATGTCACACAAAGACTCCCACCCGCCTCGCATAGCCTACGCAGGCTCAGGGCAAGTGCTGTTACGCAAGCACCTATGACGGCCGGAACGGTGCACGAGGTGGTGGTGTGGCCAGCACTACACCCGGCCACCTTTGTCTCCATCGTTCTAAAACTTACACACCACACCGAGTACTCATTTAAGGCCGAGTTGGCAAAAGGGAGGCCCAGGGACTGGCTCAGCTGTCACTGACCACTGATGTTAGCCGTGGCCAGAAATCAAACTCGGGTCGCCAGGTTCGTAGCAGTGTGCTCACCACTATGCCACTGCTCCCTGCACGTCTGACACACATGCATGTGAAGATGCTATATACGCTGCTCCACTTCACCGTTTCCTGCGTCATGTTCCATGTTTATTTGCGATTCTCATTTCAGAGGTTGCTTCTCAAAGAGAAGGATCATGGTCTGAAGTATTATCAGATGCTTTTCTGGTATAACAGTGTTAATGATGAACGTAGTCAATGTATATGTCCCTTGATTTTATGAACATTTGTATTGGTGATAACCAATGTTGAGAATAACAGCATCTGTAAGTATGGGAGTCAACACTATAAAGTTACGTGGCTATTGGTCAAATATTTACATTTTTTTGTACATTTACATTTTTTAAAATCCTATTTATTTTAAATACATACTTTTCCACCCAAACAAGACTGTAAATAGTACTTTGATAAAAAATATTGAAACGCTTACATGGTATTTTGACAGAGCAGTTTTAAATCACTTTTTTAAAGAATAGTAAATGTAAAAAAAAACATCTGGCAGAAAATGATTTCAACTTGAGTTCTTACATTTACACTGAGGACATTTCCCATTTCCCAAAATGTTCTCGGTGACTGCTATTCCAGCGTTGTAACAAAACAGAAAATAGAACTACACTTCTCAGTCACTCCTCCCTCAATCCCAGGTCATGGAAACCACCTCGGTCTTGGAACCAAAACGTCAATGGACTTCACTTCCGGTTGCGATATGCGTACCTTTAGAGAGGAGCTTTCTGAACTTTTGCGTGGCGGCAAGCTGATGCTCGGGGTCGTCAGAAAAAATCATCTGCAGCATTTCAATCGTGATGACCGAGAACTCCTGAAATTAAGACGATGCAGCGGAATTACTACGTTACCTGCCGACCCACGAACATCACGTGCACAGGCATTACCATATGTGTATATTCAAGGTGGCCAATGTAAAGAAGAATACGACCGCATTATTAATGTGCTTTGTTCTTTATAAGTAACATCTGCTTGAGAGTATGTCACGAGTTATAAGCAAAGCTTAAAATCTCCTTGGTTTTTGAGTTCATATTATTAAGTACGTATCACTATGGAGGAAAACATCATGACTAAACAATGGTAACATTTCTCCTCCGTTTTATCGTCTCACATTTTCACAGAGGCAACTTCTGAGCCAGGGATTCCCTCAACTATATTTTCCAGCGGGCCAAGTGGATGGACGCTATGGTGTAACATGGCGTCGTCACCTTGTATAGCGTCCGTACATTTGACCACTTGATCTGTAACCTCTCCAGGACTCTAACCTCAATTGTTTATCTTTGTTTCTTGTCAAAAGGTTTCATCTAGGTTTTGCTCAACTTTCATCGCTATAATTTGTTTCTGCCTTGGCAGGCAACTCCAAAAATCTTCACAGGCCACATTTGATCATAAGCCGCCATTAGAAGAACCCTACTCTTTAGAAAAACCCTACTCTTAAGGAAATCACCACACTCACTACAGAAGACACTTCAATGCCAGTGTCAACTTCTCCAACGGCTCATTCTTTGAGTGCAACGCCACTACCACGCGAGGGCACGTGACCCAATGAGGGGGCAGCGTGCCAGTTGGGTGGGGGGGCAGAAGGGAAGGGAGTCTCACCCCAGGTATGGTGGTGGTGACGGAGGGATCTTGGATTCCATTGTCCATTGAGACATCCTCATTGGGAATATCCACATTTCTACGCTTGAACAGCTGACAAGGGAGAGAAACACATACGTCATCACAACCCTAAAACTAGAAACTACAAGCACGACTGAACGTAGGCCAGATGACATGCTTCGCTCTTGGTGTCAGCTTATGTGGGAATACAGGTTTCATTGGGTAAATACCCTACAGGATCCTCCACAAGCAGCTACTTAACTAGTGGAGGAGACTTCTCATTGGGATGGTATGAGCCAGTCTCATCACATAACACCTAAACTTTTACATGAGATTTAACATTAAAATTGCATCACTTGAAAGCAGTGGTCTCCACTAATTTTCGGAGAGGGGCCACTTTCGCCGATAAGACATCAGTGTGAAGGCCACCACACATTTAAAACCATTGGGTTTGACAGCACAATGATGGGGGGTGTTGACAGATGTGAATTGCCGGGGGCCGCACGTCAGTGACCGCATTCAAGAACACCAGGGGCCGGCGGGCCTTGCAATGAAGAACACTGCTCTGAAGAAAAGTTGACACTATAAAATGTGGCGTCCGAAGTAAATTACATCACTGTGTCCATCTTGCACACGGGATGACAAACCCCAGCAGGGGACAAGGGCGCACACAAGCTTGCACCTGCTGCTCTCGCTTTTGCTTGCGCAGCTGAATGCCCTCCTCCTCACGCCGTCGCCGCATCTCCTGCGGATTCAGCGCCTTGTTTTTGTAGCTTCTCATCCGGTAGTTCTCCTTGGCTGGGCTCGCCATTATGTCTGTGGAAACAGCACCAACACACACCACAGCAGTCAGCTACAGGGATTCAGACAGCTACACCAGATGAAAATAAAGTCATGATCATTCATAGGTCGGCAGTCACTTTGTGTCGTCAATTGTTACCAATGCAATGCAGCAGTTTTGTTCGATAACAATTCTGTTAGTACTGCGTTGGTTTATTAATCACGAATTTAAACAATAACCTGACCTTAGCCCATGAAAGAAAACTATACAGATTAAGTAACAAATGCATGCACACCTCATCATGACAGGATCATTTCTATAGTCACTTAATTATGCCTCTTTATCCACAATATGGACATTTATTCCCCACAAGTGTGATAGTCACATGTCAATCAAACCAAATCAAGTAACAAACAAAATTTAATAACATAAGGGTTTTATGCAATCATTGGTGACTAAACTGAAACCATGAACTCGTTGCACTTAAGAATCCGATTTCATCAAGGGTGGCTGGAACATAATTGGAACCCAAAAACACACTGGTGCCGGTTCAGTCTTTAGTCACCATCTCGGGTCTATATTTTTAGGCAGTACATAGTGGCCACATGTATCAATCACTGCTGCACAGAAATGTAAATTTAACTACATTCAAAAATATAATTATAGAGCAGATTGTTCTGTAAGCATTTTATCTGTTTTCAACAGACAGGGCCCATAAAATTCTGGTTCTGAAACCAGGTGCAGTACATTAAAAGAATTCGAATACGTAACAGCGTGCATAATCTGTCTGGTTTTTCCCCCCTGATGTTACATATTACGGGCTTAGTAGCTTTAGCTGAAGTTGCTTGCACAAAGGAAATGCGCAGCACCACCATTATATGTAGCTCTTGATGCACAACAAAAAAAATCTCCCCACAAAACCCCAAATAAAAAAACAAAAGGGGCAATTAGAATGTCAAAGCAAGGAAATAAACAAATTTTCCCCATTGTAAGATACACTTTTCAACTCCACAGTACAGTAAGCAGATGACGTGGGGTTACAATTAATGACTTATTTTTTCCTTTGCCCCTTGTGATGCATGTATGGAGAACTTATGCTAATGAGAGGTGAGGCTGACTATTTTCTCGTATGTGCAGGGATGTGAATCTACGGAAATGTTCAAATTTAATCGTCATATAGATTATTGTGACAAATCTTAAAAATGTAATCGGCAGCCTTTTGCCAGTCCAACTCTAAATTTAGGCTTCCCAACGCCATGTGCGTTATGGGGGTTGTTCAGAACATAACATACTTCACCAAGCTGGTCAGTGCGGGTTGGTCAAAAGGGGGGGGGGGGGGGCGGTGCAGGATGTGAAACTGGGGTCACCAGCTTCTTGGCACAGTGTGCGGGGGGGGGGGGCACTGCGTAACCACTTCCGTATAAACATACGTGAATCAGAAACCGTCCCATCGTACATGCATGTATCTTGAGCACACAAACAGATTTAATCTTTACATTGCTATTGTTCCGTCCAGTGCCGTCCCTATTCGGCGGTGACATGGCCAAGCGGAAGTGTATTTGCCGCTTGTTGCAGAGGTTCACGGTTCAATTCTAGCCGGTGTTTTGATTATCACTGCGGGTGTAATAACCGAAATAATACTAAGCGCCATCTGTTTCATTGGCATTCTCAAGAATAGGCCATTTGTGTGTTCTGGCGTTAGGGTACACATTTTCCAAGATAGAAAGTCACCTGCAAAACTACTTAATTAGGATTGTACATAGCAAAAGTCGCCAGCTACTGGCAACCTAATGCTCCATGTCACTCTTGAAAGTGAGACTCCTGCTGGTCTCTTCAGTTCTCACCCGATTAAAACGAAAGAAACTTGAAACTAAAAACTGTTTCCACAAGGTTGCCGGTGCAGCACCTTCCTATATTTATCTTCGATCTCCGCCAGTCTCACTGTATTGTTAATCTGCATCAGTGGCCATTTGCTCATGTCATTGGCCCATCGCTTTCTTGGTCTTTCTTGGGATGTCTGACCAGGTGTACATCGTTTTATGATCGGACTTTTCGAGACAACCTCCAGATATCACAGGGACTCACGTGGACATCCGAAACACCTCATACAGAATGCCTCCTAGCTTTGACATTACTCCATGATACGAGTGTACCATGAACTTTATCAGAACATCAAGGCTGATGCGCACATCTTCATAAATGGAGAATTAAAGACAAACCGTGGTGCGATGGTGGCCGTGAAATTAAAACAATGGCGCGTACAGAAATAGACCACTGTGGTGGTCTGTGCTACTTCAATGGTGGAAAATTAAAACGACACTCCTGAAGCCCCACTGTGGCTAGTCGACCTCGACATTGGCAATAAGTTCCTGAATATGCCATACGCAAGAAGGAAATGTCTTCTTTGGTTCTTTCGGTAAAGTCACGTAGAATGAGAATAAAATAATAAATTGATAAGATAAAATAACACAATAAAATTATCACGACGTTTCGGCCACAACACAAGCGGCCTTCATCAGGTGAAGGGACGAGACTGTCCTCCAGACAGTTGTGGCCGAAACGTCGTGAGAATTTTATTGTGTTATTTTATTTTAACAATTTATTATTTCATTCTCATTCTACGTGACTTTACCGAACGAACCAAAGAAGATGAATCCTTGCAGTCACGAAAGCTTTAAAAAGGAAATTATTCAGTCTAATTGGGCACACCTTGCCCAGGCATCCAAGCTTGCTCACCTCCGTGACGAAGAGGTTTAAACTAGGCTCTCCATTTTCTGCCATGTGGAGCACTTTGGCCAATTGCATTTATAATAGAAACTTAAAAAGTGTTTGTTCCGGGTTGCTTGGTGGTGGGGGGGGGGGCAAATAAAATGTCACAAAGACCTGACATACTACAAGCTGATTCTGACGGCCAAATCTTGGCAACAACCCATAATTAAACTGGAGTATCAAGTGTAGAAAGTTGATGATATGACACCCTCGTGTTTGAATGCATTAAAAACATGCGAAAAATTATGTATTTATACGTAATAATTAAAATCAGTTTGTACTGCAATGAACGCGCGTGCACCAAGCCATCTGAGAAAGTGCACCACCACTTAAGAGTGGATAAGATGTAATTGAATGTTCCCCAGAAGTATATGCCATGTTATTTTTCCAGAGGGCATTCTCTAATGTGGAGCCATATCCCGCATTCTGCAATACATATTGAAATTTCAGCCTCTCGTGACATGATGCAAAATAGTACGCCCAAAAATAACATTGAAAACGCACGCAAACAAAAAAAATTAAACCCACACAGATTCATGCGACACACAGAGGTATGGTTTCACTTGGCTCGGCCGACCTTTTTATAGCTCAACATCACACGGGCATCTCTACCATGCAGCGTAAATAACGTATCTCTGAACTAGGGCAGCTGACAGCACAAGCGCGTCAGGGTCAGGCTAGGCTATTTAATGCACAGCGACTTGTAATAAATAGTGCTCAGGTATTTTGGGGCCGGCGATTGGAGAACGAAACGAATCGTGGAGACATGGAAAGGAAGGTTCCAACTTTTTTTCCCCTTCGTTCAGGCCTACACAGGGCCTCAGGTAGCCGGTTACATTGCACAACAGAAACATAAACAAATCGCTTAGTTATCTGTATCGGAGACGATCCGTAAAATGTTATATCGGCTCTATCAGAACCGGCAAGTTGTACATTATTTCACTCTAAATGGAAAAAAGATTGGGAAAAATTGATGGTAAATACATTTTCGCACTCAAATTGTGGCCGTAATGGGTCACTGTGAAGTAAACATTTTAACAATGTGCTCCTGAGAAGCCATATCCAAGTTTGCTGAACTTGCCTTAATAAAGGCAGAGGAAAATCTGAACATTATTTTGTGGATTGTTATTGACAGTTGAACAACAATTGCAGTCAATGACTTCAAACCCTATTGAACAATTGGAAAAAAAATACATGCATGACTAAATACATGTAAGCCTATGGGTGCTGAGATGGCGAGATGTTATCTCCTTCCGCTGGTATGCAGGAAGATCGTGGATTCAATCCAGACCCTGACACCTGTATATTTGGAGTCCGCATGTTCTCTCCCAATGGTTTCGTGGATTTTTCTTCGAGTCCTCCAAATTTATAAACATGCGTTCAGATTATTTGGAGACTATAAATTCCCACATAATATAGGCCACTTCGATGAGCTATCCTGTGTGGCCAGGTCGCCTCCGAAAAAAAGCTAAAATCAGAGTAAAAAAATACACGGAATGCGCCTAACTTTGCAGACCTCAGAAGCCAAGCACAACTGAGCCTAGACAGTGCTTGAATGGGCAGCCACGGTGCAGAAAACAGGTGTTGTAGGCTGCAGAAACACGTTATCAACAGGGGGCACTTCAGTAAAATCTATGCTCCCCTCCAGCAACCCGCACTAACCCAGCGTAGTGAAGTATGGTCATGGTATGGGAAGGCCCTCATCTTGTAGTGTTTATGTACACAGACTTATAACTTCCTTTTTTTTCCTTTGACGCCAAGTTAGGTGACATTGCAAACTTAATAAAAGCACAGTGAGGAAGTCCAATGATGCATCCTTAGCTGTGCCCACGCAAGCCACCGCTTGATGTTGGGAGAAAAATCGCAAATATGTGGAATGCCACACCTAATCAAGGTGACGCATCAATGTCAGAGACTTTCAGTAAGGGCTGCCACTCCTCCATTGACTATTTGTGGCTCGTGAATATTTGTCATCTTAACCCCCCGCCACCCAATCATAGCTTGCTATTGCAAGTCTCTGGACTGTAATGCTACATTATAATCAACAACAAAAGCTCAGGGCATGTAAGAGAACGTCTTGTGCGCTAATTACCGCAATTACCATCAATCAAGGCAAGTTCACCAATGTTAAAATTATGGTGCGAGAGAGGAAGCTTCTGTCATGCATTCTTATGTTGAATGCACGTGAACAGAAATTGACTAAAAATGCAATATGGACCAAATACAGTGATTTTTGTAGATGACCTTAATGTCACATACAAGTTGA